CACCCCGCCGTAGTCCAGGCCCTTCTCCCCGTCAAACTCGATCCAAAGCCGGGCCTTGAGCTGCTCGGGCTTCTTCACCGCAGAGATACGCCGGTAGGAGTCCTCAAAGATGGCCGAGCGGTGCAGCTTCATCTCAAACTTACTGGGAACGTCGCTCTGGAAGGGAACGGGCCTTGAGGACTGGTCACCAAAGAAGAGCGGCAAATCCCACATTTAGGTGCAGTCTATTAACACTGCTGAATGTTGACTGTGTTTTGGTGCATGCATGTCATTATAATGGTGTGTTTTGATATATAGGCATGTAAGACAGGTATGTCTTACATGCCCTGCGGAAAGCTGGTAAGTCCCGCAAGGCACGGACTTCAGGTGGCAGAGTGTTCCAGAGCGATGGTGCCACTGCTGTGAAGGCTCTGCGTCTGGTTGCTGTTAGGCACAAGGTCTTGACTCTGGGAATTTCCAACAGATCTTGGTCCTCAGAACGGAGGGATCTCTGGGGTTGGGAGGGGGTGAGGCGGTCCCTCAGGTACATCGGCCCCAGACCATGCAAGGCCTTAAAGGGGAGTCCCATCCCTTTGAAAGTGATCCGGTGCTCAATGGGTAAGATTGGGGTGATGTGGCATTCCCACAAGAAGCCGAGCAGCTGCATTTTGTACCAGCTTGAGCTTCCGGATCACCGACAGAGGAAGGCCAATGTAGAGGGCATGACAGTAGTCCAGTCTTGAGATGACCGTGGCCTGGATCACCGTAACGAGGTCGTCCCAGGACAGGGAGGGGGCCAGCCGTCTAGCCTGCCGCAGGTGAAAGAAAGAAGGTGGTTCTGCTCACGGCGGAGAGAGACCTGGGCCTCCATCGTCAGCAGAGGGTCCAAAAGGACTCCCAGACTCTTGACCAATGAGGACGGGCATAGCGCCTCGCCATCCAGGGTAGGCAGCTGGATGTCCCCACTGCCCAGTCGACCCAGCCATAGGATCTCCATCTTTGCTGGGTTCACCCTCAACCTGCTGGCATGCAGCCATCCAGTCACGGCCTCGAAGCACTGATGGAAACAATCGGGTACAGAGTCCGGCCGGCCTACCATCTTCAGCACCAGATGAGTGTCATCCGCGTACTAGTCACACTCCAGCCCAAAACCTCGAACCAGCTGAGCAAGTGGTCGCATATAGATGTTAAACAACAGAGGGGAGAGAATGGCCCCCTGAGGAACCCCACAAGAGAGAGAGAGGGGACCTCTCAGAGACCAGGCCTCCCCTCTCCACTCGCTGTCCACGGTTGGGAAGAAAGGAGGATGGCCAGTTTAAAGCTCTCTCCCTGACTCCAGCAAAGGCAAGGCAGTGCGTCAAAAGATGATGGTCGACTGTGTGAAATGCTGCTGTGAGATCCAATAACACAGTGGTTCTCAACCTGGGGGTCGGGACCTCTGAGGGGGTCGCGAGGGGGTGTCAGGGGGGTCGCCAAAGATAATCAGAAAACACCGTATTTTCTGTTGGTCATGGGGGTGCCATATGGGAAGTTTGACCCAATTCTATCATTAGTGGAGTTCAGAATGTTCTTTGTTTGCTTTTGGACTTCCATGAGCTAGAGGTCTGCTCATGGACTTGGATATATAAACCCCTTTTTCCCAGCTCCAGCAGACCTCTGAGGAAGCTTGCCATAGATGCAGGCGAAACGTCAGGAGAAATGCCTCTAGAACATGGCCATATAGCCCGAAAAAAACCCACAAGAACTGAGTGATTCCGGCCATGAAAGCCTTCGACAATACATTGTTCTTTGATTGTCGTGAATTATAAATCCCAGCAACTACAACTCCCAAATGTCAAGGTCTATTTTCCCCAGACTCCACCAGTGTTCACATTTGGGCATATTGAGTATTTGTGCCAAGTTTGGTCCAGATTCATCATTGAGTCCACAGTGCTCTCTGGAGGTAGGTGAACTACAACTCCAAAACTCAGGGTCAATGCCCACCAAACCATTCCAGTGTTTTCTGCTGGCATGGGAGTTCTGTGTGCCCAATTTGATTCAACTCCATCACTGGTGGAGTTCAGAATGCTCTTTGATTACAGGCGAACTAAAAATCCCAGCAACTACAACTCCCAAATGACAAACTCAACTTCACCAGTATTCATATTTGGGCGTATTGAATATTTGTGCCAAATTTGTTCCAGTGAATGAAAATACATTCTGCATATTGGATATTTACATTATGATTTATAACAGTAGTAAAATGACTATTATGAAGTAGCAAAGAAAACAATGTTATGGTTGGAGGTCACCACAACATATGGAACTGCATTAAGGGGTCACAGCATTAGGAAGGTTGAGAACCACTGCATAACACAAGCAGTGCCAACCTGCCCTGGTCAAGCTGGCATCGAAGGCGATCCGTGACGGAGACCGGCACAGTCTCTGTCCCATGCCCCGCACGGAAGCCGGACTGGAAGGGATCTACTCCGGCTGTGTCGTCTAACAACTGCTGCAACTGCTGCCCTCTCCATCACCTTGCCCAGGAACGAGAGATTCGAAACGGGGCGGTAACTGGAGGAAACTAAAGGATCTAAGTCTGGTTTCTTCAGCAGGGGAGAGAGGGACCACCGCCTCTTTTAAACCCTCTGGAAAAACTCCTTGCTCAAGGGAGCTGTTTATGACCTTCAACAGAGGGTCGCGTAATCCCTCCAAGCAGGATTTCACCAGCCAAGAGGGACACGGATCGAGGGAGCAAGTGGTCGGTCTGGCTGCAGCTATGAGCCTGCCGACAGCTGGGATGAACCGGTCGAGGATGGGCCCAGCAAGTGGCCACGGGGTCTCAAGTTCTCTCACTGCATCAATTGTGGCGGGGAGGTCCCGGCGAAGGAGCGAGATCTTGTCTGAAAAATAGCTCTGAAAAACCTTGGCTGAAGGGGCCCGATCACCACTTTTTGGGATGGTAGGAACGGTCGTTAGAGATCGAATTATTTTGAACAATTTTGCCAGGCGTGAGCTAGGAAATACTATCAAAGAAGCATAATATACATGCTTTGCTTCTGTGATAGCATGCTCATAGGACTCCCTAAATGTCTCATAAGCTGATCTCGATGCTCCGTCATGGAGTTCTCGCCACACGCCCTCCAGCCGTCTCTTTTGCCGCTTCATCATTGTCTTGTGGGGTTCCTCAGGGTTCAATCTTGTCTCCTATGTTGTTTAACATCTACATGAAGCCGCTGGGGTAGATCATCCGGAGTTTCGGGGTGCGATGTCATCTGTACGCGGATGATGTCCAACTCCATCACTCCTTCCCACCTTCATCTAAAGAGGCTGTCCAGGTCCTGAACGGGTGCTTGGCCGCTGTGACGGTCTGGATGAGGGCGAACAAATTGAAACTGAATCCAGACAAGACAGAGGTCCTCCTGGTCAGTCGTAAGGCCGAACAGGGCATAGGGTCACAGCCTGTGTTGGATGGGGCCGCACTCCCCCTGAAGGCGCAGGTTCGCAGCTTGGGAGTGACCCTGGACTCATCGCTGAGCCTGGAACGCCAGGTTTCGGCGGTGACCAGGGGAGCATTCGCACAATTAAAACTTGTGCGCCAGCTGCGCCCGTACCTTGGGAAGTCTGACTTGGCCACGGTAGTCCACGCTCTAGTCACATCCCGTATAGACTACTGCAACACTCTCTACATGGGGTTGCCTATGAAGACTGCTCGGAAGTTACAAATGGTCCAACGATCGGCAGCCAGGTTGTTAACAGGAGCGGCACTCAGGGAGCACACCACTCCTCTGCTGCGCCAGCTCCACCGGCTGCCAATTTGCTACCGGGCACAATTCAAAGTGCTGGCTTTAGCCTTTAAAGCCCTAAACGGTTCTGGCCCGACCTACCTGTCCGAACGCATTGCCCCCTACGAACCAGTTAGGACATTAAGTGGTCCACGCTCTTGTCACATCCCGATTGGATTACTGCAACGCATTCTACGTGGGGTTGCCTTTGAAGACTGCTCGGAAACTCCAACTG